AAGGAAAAGTAAGTAATATTTTGAAAATTCCACCACAAATGTGCCATTAAACGCTCTAGAAAATTTCAGAATTTCAGTTAGAACCAGCAAAGACTTTTCTTAAAAGCATACAGTTTGTGTCTTATTTTGCCTTTAAAGCACATCTTCCAGCTCAACCAATCAGCAAATTAACAAATCGAAAAATTCCTGCAGGTGCCAATATGATGGGCAATCTGTGATATCAAAACTGATAGACTTTCGAGGCCATTCCTTGAAACTAATGTGTTTTTCGGGTTTTTAGGCCGTCGTTCGGTAGAAGCTAAATTTTTGGCGCTTCTGCTTTCGCTTGAAGGATATAAGAGTCTGTGTAAAATTAAACGTTTCTCAATTTTTTCGGGGTTTTAGAGCAACGTGGAAAATAATTTTCGAAGACGTTTCGAAAGCACGTGCTTCGGGCAAAACTTCAAGAGAAAGTAGTTTGAAACAATGGACAAAACTCCTTTAATCTTTTGGTAAGTTTATGGTTACTTAACTGATAAATAATATTAATTGCATGCAGAAGCACGTCTATAAGATTTGGAGAAAAAAATATCTCAAAAAAAGTAGCAAATTTCAAGGCAGATGATTTTGAAGAAAAAATGCCATAAATGTCTGAAAGGGCGGACGGTTCGGAAGAAATTCTACCGAACGACGGCCAAAAAACCCGAAAAACCCATTAGTGTCAATCTGTGATATTTTTGTCTACTTAATTAGCAAAAAATGCACCCAGCAGCTAATTTTAAAAATGCCCACGTTGCAGTCTACAAACAGAAAAAAAACCGTGTTCCTACCATCCATACACGCGTAAAAACTCATTCACCGGGTATATTAAAAAATGTACCTTTCCCAATATTTCGTAAATGACACTGTCGAAAATGTTGGCAATAAACCAAACACAAAGCCACTACAAAATCACTACTGAACCCTCTAATTAAATGAATGGAAAAGAGCGATTTTTTCCCTTACTTAGTTGGAATCATTCGCATCTGTTCGCGTCCATTAGAGACCCAAAAGCCCCCATTTACCGGTTTCGCTAAAGCTCCTAAACAACCGAGAAACACAACGTAACAGTCTAATCCAGCAATCTGCATAAGCATATTTCCCTTTTACGCCTATTTAACTATTAATAATCAAAAATTTCCATAATGCCCGGTACTCAGGTGTTTTACTGGCACTGGAACGGCTCCCTAAAATTCAGATAAGAATTTTTATAAAGCCCAGCCCACAATGGGGCGCCTTAAAGTGCACGGCTTGTGAAAAATTAATGGGGCATTTTACGGTAGCAGGCAGCAGCTAGAAGGATTTGCCAGCCCTCAGCTATTACGTACTTTCGAAGAATATTAAAGGGGTACACAAGGACCACGACTTATGCTCAAAGGAAACGCTCGAATTTTGTTGCAGGATTTTTCACATTTTCCTCCAAATATCATTGCATGCAGCAAATTGCTTCATTAACCAGTGAAGTTGATTAACATTAATTAGTGGCATGCTACGCTTAATTTACCTTTATTCTCACTTAATGGCAGATTCAAGAGAAAGCCGATGAATACAAAAAGTACCAATTTATAATCGTCTCTTCAGGTAAGATGCAATTAAGACTCGTTTAGTGTAAGGCTGGATGGTATGGAATGGAACTTTGCAGGTGAAAGCAGCCGTTGATTTTGCTCAATAAAAACGGCAGGAAGGAAGCAAGCAAAACAGCCCAGATTAAAAACCCAAACCAGACCAGACATTTTCACTTGGATTTTCTGCAGCAATTCGAGACGGTAATTTTGAAACAACTCAGTTTTGAAATCAGCGACGGAAGAAAACTTTTTAAAGGCTCATGGCTGAAGGCGCAAAAAACCACTAAAAAACTAAAAAAAAGTAGACCCAATAAAATCAGTTCTAAACAACCAAATAAACGAAATTGCTATGTATCAAAACACAAAATACACGCAAAAACTTGGAACAAATAACTGAATTCAACGGTGTTTACAACCAAAAATCAACATTTTTCATTAGCGTTTTGAACGGTTTTTGAGCACGCTGAACTAAAAAAAAAACGAACATGTGTTTGTGAACAGTTTTTTCCTTGCATTCTTCATTTCGTTTACTCATAATTTTCTGATTTTGTTGTTATCATAAATATACAGG